GCAGATAATCAACGGTATGACTACCGACGTATGTATTTCATCATTTATTTAGCTTTAAATGATTTTTTGTAAATAATAACTTAAATTTGTCATCACAGTCACTGTAAAATTGATTAGATACATCTCAATTCCGCGCCAACATAAATTCTACGGTTTACAGACTAATGTAATCTAACGTTGTCATCGGGGTGTTGTTACCTTCATTAGTAAAAAGCTTTTTCCCTATATTAGCTTTGATTCTCTAAATTGAATACAAACAACAGGCAACCCAATATTCATTGTTGTATGTTATTTATACGCATGTTAATACATTGACTTTACTAAAACTGAAAATATACAAAAAGTACAGAATGTTTAAAAATATGACTAAATAGTGGATGTATGCACATTCCTACTCAAAATACATCAAAGTTAATTATTTTATTTCTCCCACGGTTTGCTAACACAAAGAAAAAGAATTCTTATGATATCGAACCATTCGAGCCCCAGCTGTTGAAAAACCCTGAAATTGTTGGAAAACCCTAATCAACATTAAACTCGTGAATCATTACTGATAAGTCCATCCCTTTGTAGACAAACAAGAAACGTTTTCTGGAAATTCTTTTTTGAAGGGTATCCAATAAAATTGATAACAAACCACTTACGATTTTATTATGAATTTATATATACAGATACATGTAAAGATAAATAAGGAAAATGGTATTTAATGAAAGGCAAAACTTTCTGGGGTCTAGTATACAGTATGCTTTGAAAAGATCCCCAAATCAAGCAATCTCATGCACTAAAAATTTATTATAAATAGCACTTTTGTCAAATAAACAATACAACAACTAATAATAATATTTGCAAAATGTTTTACTTATTCCTTTCTAGTCAGTATTGACCCAAATGTTTGTTGGTATTGGACTGAAATACCTTTACCACAAAAAAGGAATCAATGGTAAATTTATATACGTAAATACAATATACAAGTTTAGAAAAATTACAAAATTTTATCATTGCAATCATTATCCTCTTGCATTCATGTTACAATTAAACTGAATATTTATTTAGTGGTTTAATTCTAATCAAATTATCATAATTTTCAATCAAAAAATATTTCAGACTGCCTAAAACTTTGGTAATCACTTCGACAATAAAAAAATGTCTACTAATTTTTTTAAATTTTGTTTGTCCTAATTTTGATTTAATTGATGATAATTTTTCATATACCTATCAAAGTTGCATCATTCACAGTTCCTAACTTTCACTTTACACTTTAAATTAAAATAATTACTGCAAGTATCACTTCGTTATTATTACTTTATTATTATTATTACTCAAAATATACCTAATACCTACTGCAAGGGACTGGAATTAATAAATATAATAATAAACAATATTCGGCATACCTAAATAAAAAGTGCAAGNATAAAGAATTTAATAAGTGCAATTAAATGTTATATTTTATTGTTACTAAAATATTACCGCATGGTTATCAATAAACACCAATACCCATTGAGAAACTCTTTTACCAACATCATCACCATCATAAGGTCGTCAGTCCTAAAACAGGTTGAACACACCCCTCCACTTTTTCTTATTCTGAGCTAATCTTCGTACATCCTACACCCTTAACTATTCGCGAACAGTAATCCAATCTAGGTCTACACCTACTCCTCTTAACTCCTGTTTCTGCCTTTAATATGTCTCTGACTAGACCTTCATGCCTGAGAAGGTGTCCTACCAGTTTATCTTTCCTATTCTTTATTAACTTCGATAGAATCCTCTGTTCTCTTATTCTTTCTAATACCTCTTCATTTCTAGCCTTATCTATCCACGGTGTTTTATTATGAATATCGATATACAGATAAAATGGTATTTAATGAAAAGCAAAACTTTCTGGGGTTTAATATACAGTAGTTTTGTGTTTATAATTACAATTGTAGTATCAAATTAAGTTTTAGATTTTAATTTGTGAGAAAACCGTGATCTCTATATGTAAAAGGCTCTTATATACCATATAATGTGGTTGAATCAAATAAATATGTAAAGGCAATCTTATTTTCTAATATTTTGTAAATAGAGAAACCGATGTATCATTGTTTGGAAATTGCAATATACAAATATGAATATTTCAATCAACAACCTGTCTAATCATTTCGAAGTCCAGTTTTCAATGTTTTGAATTTTTACTACAGTTTGACCTTTGCATAAGTGATAGGAAGAAAAATGATATGACAAGGTAATAATAAAAACAAAATATAAACAAAAATAAAAAGCATGAACGACAAGGAGCAGGATGAAAATAAATTTAATAATTTTTTCGTGAAGATTTGAAAACTTTTGTTTTTACTTATTTCGAAATGTTTCTAATAAGGATGATTAAAAATGATTATCTTTCTTAAGGAAAATTATAAAACTTTTCGGTATAAAATTATGACTTTTTTGAATTATTAAATGAATAAATAAATGTAAATAAATTACGCAACTCGTCAAGGTCTTAACTGAATTGTTATACCGTATTGCTTTATCATCGATGACTGCTCATTAGAACCCTACATTCGTATATCTATTACTGCAATATGAGAAGTGCAATTAAATGTTATTTTTTATCGTTAGTAGTATATTACCGCAAGGTTATCAATAAAACAGGATAAATACAAATACCTATTGAGAAGCTCCTTTACCATCACTATAACATTATATTATACTAGATGTATGCCGTAAGGAATTGACAATATTGCTATTAGGTTTTTGCTTAAAAACCCTTATTTATAATTAAATCACTAGGTTTTAAATTAAATAACATTTTTATGATAGTCCTGCGACAATTATTGGAAAATTTTCAAATCTCAGAACTCAAAAAAGTCATTTTTTGCATAAAAGGACAAAACAACTAAGATTGTAGCTATTTCATAGGTATTTTATCGCTGTGTTAGAATCTGGGTTCATAATTGAGACATCTCATAAAGATGTTTGAAATATTTTAAGTTCAAAATGCAAATGTTTCGATTTGAGATTAGAAGCAGTATAATGCTTAGGTTAAACATACAAAAACAAAAAAGTAATCATTTCTTATTTATATTTACATATATTATTCACAGTGGTGTTGGTGGGGGACTTGTGAACTTTTCTTAAAATTTTAAAAATAAATGTTTATTTAAATGTATAAGTTAATAAGATATATCATATCATAACATGTTGGGAAAATTCTAAGGCGAAATTCTAATCCAGCGATGGAAGATAAGTCGATGATAACTACTCTTGATTACTTTGAGAATTTATTTTACCTTATATGTAATGCTCACAAAAAAGCCAAAAACTGAATTTTCTGAAATCTGAATTTAGGACATTTCAAAATCCAGACGTGCAATGACAATTATGAGACCAGATTCGAAATCAGCTTCCCTCTTGTTTTTGATTTTAGTTTCCTGATCAACGTCAATGTGCGAATTAAAAAAGTCACATTTGTTTGTTCTATTTATTTCGTAACTTCTATTGTGCAGATGATATGTGTATCTCAAATTAATTTAAGAAATTTTTTATTTAACGCAATGTCTATAAACTTTTGATATCAATGTTTTTTTATTTTGAAATCCATAACGCGCAATAATTAAAAAGAAGCATGTAAATACATCATAAGCACATTTTCAGTACTTAATAAGAAAAAAAATATAGCGATTATTTTCAAGGTTTTATAGAACTGAATATCTTGAATTTTCATTTTCCGTGAATAAAGCAAAATATGTCTACAGTTATATGTATACAGTTACAAGTACCTACTCTGTCGATAAATTACGTACTTTTTGATAAAAGATTAATTAAAAGTAGTTTCACTACAACGTTTTAAAAAATGCGCTTGTATATTAGGTAGTAGTAATATTGACGATTCTATGATTATCAAGGTTCATATAACTTTCATTGCATTTTCATTTAAATGTTAAAATAAATAAAAATAATAATCTTTTGTTAATCCGCAAAGTTCTTTAATTTTACGTTCGCATGATCAATTTTTTTTGTTTTAAAATAAAGTGATTAGGGTAGATATTAACATCTATGAGTTATTTTTAATGTTGTGTTTCAATTTAAAAACATTCTTTTAGATTTACTAGTTATTCATGATTTATTCAACAAAATAGTCGCATATTTCGCTCCCATAAATCTAACTAATGTTTTTTTTTTTATTGTGCACTTACTGACAATGATTCTGTGAAATATGGGAATGGTATAAACGTTTATAAACATTTTATTTTAAAGAATCATGTCATTGGTCTATTTCGATATAAAATTCGTAGCGATAACGTTGACTTTACTTAAGGGAATTAAAAATTATGACTAGTTACTGCTAGTAACTGCTTAGTCATCATCATAATAAGGTGTTCAATTTGCTTTTCACTCACATCCCAATGTTTTAATTCAATTTACGCGGATGTGTTGAAGGCTGCAATTTTTCCACATATGCGAAGGTCTAAAATAATTAAGTGTATTTTTAATTACGCAAATTAATTGATTTTAATTTATTAAAATGCATCTATTATATGACATTAATCTTACATGTGAAGTCGGCCTTTCACATGTTACCACTTACTTAAAGGCAAATGATTGTTGAATGTTCTTCATAAATAAATTATTGTTCAAATGCGTTGTTCGCATTCCAGTAGTAATTCTACCGACTTTACGCAATTATAAAACAACCTATTCAACTTTGATATACATAGGTACCCTCACACGTCACACCATGAACTGAGGTCAAATTAATCGTAAGTGGACTCCTGAAGGTTTGCGGCTCTAGTAACCATGACTGGGAAGGATGAGTCGGAAAAATGAAAGTTAACTTAAGTAATACCTTTACGCAAAGTAATTTAAGTAAAATTATCTATAAGATATCGTCCTCTTTCAGTGACGAGCTGTTTCACAATTATCAGTAATTAGTTACATTATGAATATTTTAAATAACATTACCTTCAGTAGTTTAATGTTAGAGATAATTGTCCTTCTTAATAAATTTTCTATACTCATCTTGTTAACAGGTCTTTAATTTTTACATTCGTACAAAAATCATACAGCTATAAAACTAGTTCTAATAAAGAATTTAATAAAGCTTTAACTTACATTACTTAAAAATATTTAAACTTTCTAGAGTGATAGCTGATATGCATGTTGAAACTTATAGGTAGTTATCCTCGAAAATAGAACACAAAATATATTATATTCACAACAATAACATCATATCACCACACCATGGCATCATCGAATGATTCATCACTATATTTTTCTTGAAACTTTTGTGTTCTATATTCGTAAATAATTAAAAACATTTAAAATATCTGAAAAAATATGTGTATTTGTATGTGACTGCGAATAACGAAAATATATAAAAATAGAGTTACATTTTCTATAAAAAGAATGCGTGAATTTTGCTTATTTAAAAATGTTCCTACTGAAATCAAAAACAAATGTGTTCTAATTTACTCCTTACGTATTTTCTAAGTAGGCCTTTTTAGAATATGTTTTACCTTTTCGCTACAAGTCGATAATTTTATATAAACATTAACACATTTTAAGTTATTATTACAAATCACAGTAACATATTATTCCAAGTTAATTATTTATTTAAGTAATTCATAACAAAGACATGAATATTTTTAACCTTTCTACATCATTACCTATAAGTATTATTAAATAAGTACTATAATTATTATTCTCGAAATATTCTTCTTTACTTCAAATCCGAATCTACGTAAGTGTCCAAATAATTTCCAATGGCAATTCTAGCATCGTGAGGTAACATTTCGCTAGTACTGTTTAATAATTGAAGATAACTTGGCACAGAAATTTCGAAAATATCACTTCTTTGAGCCCGCATAATTTCCTGTGCTAGGTGCTGAGGATTTAATAACCTCATAGAGTTTTTGAATCTTATTTTCGGATTTTTGCAAAGTCCAGTATCAGTCATATAAGGAAAAACAATGGTAGTTTTTATCTGATTGTTGGGCGCAACTCGAATTTCTTCGTACAAAGCCTCCATCAACCCTCTAACTGCAAATTTAGAAGCGCAGTAAGGAACCAGATTTTTTAACCCAAACAACCCCGCACAAGACGATAGTGCAACTATGTGACCATCATTATTTTTCTTCATAATGGGCAGAAACGCTTCTAGCGTCCAGAAATGAGCTATCACGTTAATCTTAAATATCCGCTCGATTTCTTCGGGGGTGTGTTTTTCCACAGGATGGCAAGGCATAATACCGGCATTATTAATCAAAACACTTACGTCGCCGACTTCTTTTGTAATTTTTTTACTTATTTCCAGGACATTTTCCCTCTTCGAGACGTCACAAGTGTACCAACAGCCTTTTTGGTGTCCATTCCGGACTATCTCGTTAAATGTTTCTTCGTTACCTTTTTCGTTAACATCCAGTCCCACGACGATGGCACCTTCTTGGGAATAAAGGTAAGCTAACTCTCTACCAATTCCATGCCCAGTCCCAGTTATAACAACGACTTTTCCTTTTACTTCTTTTAAAGCTGGAGGAACAATTTTCTTGTAAACACTGACAGCCACAAAATAGAAAATCCTCAAAAAAAGAAGCAACGTATCGCCAATGATTTCCAATATTTCTCGAACTTGTTGGCCAACCGATCTTTCGGCGCTGGTCTGTGACCAGTTTGTCACATCCGAATTCATTTTTGTCTTTATTCCAATTGTATTGTATCAGTGCACAGTATCGTATGAAAACAATGACAATTAAAGCAAATTATTACCCAAATGCATTCAAAGCCGGTACGCTAAGTACGAAATATTAAGTTTGATTCCGTCACGAAATCGATGCGACTGTAGGTGGCTTATCTTAAATTGTCTCGACCATGCGCAAACTTGAAACTACTTCGTAAAATCCCGCTTAAAGTTATTTTTATATACTGTTGAGGCATTACAGCAATATTTGTAATGACGCTCGATTTCCACGGCCAACGCTCGTACATGTTTGTCTGTTTTTTTTTTGAAGGCAATACTTCTGACTGACTAACAACTAAATAATACAAAAAATAAATTAACCATATAATACACTTGTAGGATCCTTATAGCAATAGGCATTTATTTAACCTTTGGTTGTACACGTTTATTAAAGTTTACGTTTAACCGACAAAAATGGTAATGATTAAGTATTTGTATTTTAAATCAGTTGAAAAACGTTCATTTTATCGTACGTTGAACCGATTGTATATTTGAGCAAAAATGATAATCGTCCTTTTGGTTAAGAACCATAAAAGTTATTTATCTGATCAAACTTTAAATTAACCGAAATGTGTTTGCTTAACTTTTTATTATGTCGTGGAGAACGTTTTTTTCCGTATAGTGTTTATGAGAAATCCAGTGTCAATTCTGTTGACAAACATTTATTTCATATCTTGTTTATGCAAGTAACCAAGCATGCACTAATATGAATGAATAATTTTTCAATACTAATGACCCAGAGGTATGTAAATTCCGTCCGGGGTGTTTTTTATTGCCCTAAGTAAATTCCACCCGATATACCTGTACCCATGGTTCAGTGTGCAGAAGTGCATTGTCGTACGACAATTGTAGATGATACAATTAAAAGCTGTCCCAAATATTTACTTTCCACGCATTACAACAAGATTCATACGTGCCTCTCATATTTTTATCACTTCCTGATAAAACTTCAGAGACATATAGATATTAAATGCTTCAAATGTGTTGTTGTTGAATGTGCAAGAACAGGATATCAGTTTTAACCACAAAGTAGAATCCTTTTTTCATTGATTATTCTTTCGGAAAATCGATGAGAGAATTATAGATCTATAGGCAGAAATATAGGCAAAGATTTCTTGTTCGACTTACGAATAATACTTGTTCAACTTTTTGCTATAATGGAGACTTTAAAGTATTATTATGGGATTTGCAATATTTTCAAATCGCCGCGTTATATTCACCGAGTGGAGGTATATATCGGATGGAATTTACGTTTTCCGGTTTACATGATGCAGTGTTTATTGTTAAATTGTACATAATAGGGAATACTGTTGAAGGTCAACAAGAAGAAACAAGAAAAAACAAATTTAAGGATTGATAGGTACTAAGATATAAACAACTTTTTTGAACCACGGTCAGTACAGAAATTAAGGTTTGTTGATTAGCCCGATGACTTTGAAGAAATTGAAGGATAATCCTTTGACTGGTCTGTGACTAACGGAAAAATGTTGTTTTGGTTATTGCATCTAGGGCAAGCGTTTAGAAGGTTCTTATGTGTTATGAAGTTCGTGTGACCGATTCTTATTCACATTAGGCAAGATTTTTCTCTTTTATATTTAACATGACTTTCAGGGGATGAGCCAAAGTGGATTCATGAATTCTATAGAGTATATTGTGTTGTTCCATTCATTCTTAAATTTGTTTTTGATAACCATTTCACCGATGGTCATTAGGACTAGTTTTAGTAGCTAATCAGCATTCTCTTTGTCCTTTACTCCTTGATGGGCTGGAATGGTCCAAGAAGCTTTAATAATTTTACAAGTACATCATATGATAACATTTAGATAATTTAAAAACTTTTTCAACCATTCATTCAAAAATCAAAAAGCAAAGTTGAAGAAAATGTTGTCTTTTTGTTTTTACGATTTTTAAAATTCTTGAGGCTTCTTAATACGTTAAACACAAACAAAATTTTATACGAAATCGGAAAAAGACGATAGCGAAAACGAGACTTGTTTTGTATTTGTAGACTGTATCACATACTCCGTGTCTCAGCGAGTCTCTTTGGTGTCGCTGAGAGAGACTGTCGAGAGACTGTCAAAAAAACTGTTTAGCATCTCTGAACGAGAGACTCGAATCTCTGAACGACAGACTCGAATCTCTCAATAAGAGGTGTCTCGATAGACATGGTTAAAATTTTCTAAGTTCAACATATTTCAGAAATCCCAGTCTTTCTACGAGAGACTCGAGTCTCTCAATTTTTCAATTTTATCCATTAAGTCTCTCTGTGAGAGACTCGAATATCTGAATTAACAATTTTATCGTTCGAGTCTCTCATACAGAGACTGTGAGAGATCCATAAAAACACTTAGGCAATAACTGAGAGACTGTAAAAGACTGTGAGAGACTTTCTCAGAGACGCTGAAAGACTTTTAGAGACTGAAGAGAGACTGAAAGTTTTTGTCTAGGGTATCTTTTGCATTATTTTTATAAGAAATTTCTGTGTTCCAATGAGCGTAAACCATTTCCCAAAACCATAAAACTACGCTTCTATTTAAATTCAACTGCTTTACCGGTAAGTTACTGCCTTTCATGGCACTAGGGCCTCAATCTTTCATTCCCATTATTTGGGATACAACAATTATATATTTACTAATTTGGTTCCTTACTTTATCTCAAATTGTTTTTATATATTTAACTTTGATTCCGGGTTAATTTAATAATCATTGTTTTCCTAATATTAAATCAAAAACCACATAACAACAAATTAATAGCTTCAGTTACACCAGCTGCAATAACAACTGCACGTACCTAAAAATGATTATGGGTACTTGCAAATAAAATTCCTTATGATAGGTAAGAACATAAATAATTGGTAATTTCTACACGTAAGAACCGTCATTTCAGTTGAAAATAGCTGACCTCGAAATACTTGAAGGAAATATGAATTGAATTGAATTGTTTCGAATTCAAAAAAAAAAAAAAAACAAACCAAAAATTGCTTTAATCGCAGACACAAAAATGCACTTTGTTGGTTACGTCTTGACTTAGAATAAAACAAGTGTTTTAAAGATACAAAGGGTCGATAATTTAGTTAATCAAAAACTTTTAAAAACAAAATTTCTCAAACTTAACTGTAATTAATCAATTATGACAATAGATGCAAATACAGATTAGAAACGAATGGAAAACTATTGCTCCCTTTAAAAATGAATTGAACGGGTTCTTCAATTTTAAATCAGTGGTAAAGTCAGTGGAATTTTTTAAATTTATCGTATGAAATTTTTAAATACTAACCTTGTGGTACTTTTATAGAATTCTATTAATAAATAATTGTGACAAAAGTTTTCAATTCTAGTAATAGAGAGCACAAGTCTGGTTAATGGGTTGCCGATAGAAACATTCTAAAAACGAAATAAATTTCTTACATTTTCATATACAGAACGTTAGGTTTTTAAAGTACAAGTAACATATATATAATATATATATTGATGCTGTATAGCTGTAAGGTACTTCAGGGATGGATCCACTTAAGGAGTTTTTACGCTGCAGCGCAAGGCACCGTGGATACAAAAGGCCCCAGCCTCCATTGAAACAATAGGCAATATTGTAAAGAAAAAATCTAAAATTAAAAAAAATCCGATCAATCGCTTGTATTCGGTGGGTGCATTTTTCGCGTGTGTCCTTATTACGAGGGATTTTCGGCCGCCGCTTATCGCCCAAGGCAATTTTGAGTTTTTCCGCATTTCTATACTCGTCGTCGATTTTGTTACTGTTAGAACTGTGTGAAAATATTTTAATATTGTATTTCTTTCCTATTCCTTTCCAGTTGTTTGACAAAATAGCAGTTAGTTCTGTAATTAGATTGACTATTAAAAAGTATTAGACCAGGGTCACACAAATTCACGATCTGCTCGTAAAGTACCTCTTTTCAATAAAAACTAACAATAAAAAATCACTGAAAATCAGAGTATCCCTTAAAATCTTGTAGTATTCGAAAAAAGGCACCTAGTATTGTCCTAGATATAAAGCCCTCGACTAATTATTCAACATCTGAACTAATAAATAATAAAGCAACAATTCACCTATTAATTTGGAGCTTCTTCTGGAATAACTGTAAAATTATTTGATACTTTGCAAGCCTCAGGATAAATAACATTATTATTACTACTAAATTATCCCCAAATTAAGGCTTTGGGATTTATTGTAAATAAACAAATGTTTTATTCTCTGAAGTAGTCTAGATTGATTATCATCTTAAAATAATCATATCAGGGATAAAAAATGAATAATAACATTATTAATATCAATTTAAAAAATACAAAAAAAAACAAACGGTAACTAGAGGTAAAAGCAAGTTCATTTTTACACAACAGACAATAAAACTTTTGATTTTTTTTGATGGTTGTGTTTTCATTTCCACGTAAGTGGAAGTAGAATATATACAAAGAATAAATTTTGCTTCCGAGTCCCCTTAGGGTTGGGGGGCTAACCTATGCGCCGCTTGGGGACGCTAGCCTCGTAGAGGTGTTACAACGCTAGGAAAAAAATAAAAATATGCAATTAAATACGAATTTCAGAAGCAAATTTTTGCTATTATTCGATATATCTACGAAATTAAATTTATAATTGAAATAATAAATAAAACATTTTAAACCCTTAAAGGGGCGCTTACTTAAAGCTTGCCAAAGGGTGCCACATTTCGTAAGGACAGCACTGTTTTGAATTTTACCGATTAAATCATTCGAAAATTGGCAGAAACTCAATGCAGATACATAAAACAAATTATCACTTAGATTGGTATCTTGTATCGTATTTCATAAGCGAAAAATGATTTCATCGAAAAGAAAGTTAAGTAAGTATACCAATCTGTCATATTCTTTGCATTTAATATAGCTACTTGTCAAGAAGGCCTATCGTACTAAAATCGTTACGTAGAAATTTCAAAAGATATTTTTTATATTTTGTAAAGTAATTGCTGTTAGAACTTTAGCAATTATACAAAATTTGGATGAAAATAGAAATTTACAAAGAAAAAACAGACGAAAAAGAAGAAAAATGAAAGGGCTCATTCTTTGTTTCCCCATTGTAACTTTCACGCAGATACTCGAAAGCAAAAGAAATTATCAAATTACATTCCAAAAATAAGCGTTCCAGGATCTCATTGACAAAAAAGAATTATGAATAAAATTAATGATAGCATTATTTTAAAGTAGAATTTAATGAAGCATTTTTTCTTTTTTTCAGAAAAATTGCTATGCTTATCCTTTTATATGATATGCCTTTTACTATTCTTATTATAATTATAACTATTTTTACAGCCATAATTTAAAAATAAAACCTCATCGCGACATTAAATAGTAGAAACTTCTTAACTAAGATATAATTAATACTTATAACAAAAAGAGAAAGAAATAATTGTTGCATAACTAAGTGCGACTTTACAATGTAAAAATTGACCAATTGCTTATTCTAAAAGCGGTTTACATGAAAAATATCATAACACATAACCGAAGCTTACGAGATGCATGCGTTTACTGAATATGCACCGAAAGTAAATTAGGTCGCGTCTGAGTCTTAAACGTAGAAAGGCCGAAATCATTCGCCATATGGGGTCTACGCCCTCATCGTCTAAAGCTTCCTGTGATTGATGGTATAAAAAGCAAACCTCGGTGGTGGTACTGTATCAGTCTCTTTCTGCATTCCTCCAGTGTACAACTCAACATGAAAGTAACGGTAAGTCAAATGATACACTATAACAAAACTGAAATCTTTTTCATATTTAAACATAAAAAACATACCTGGAAAGAAATATTTTGAATTATTTTTTATTTAAGACATTGATTGCACTCCTGGTTCTTGGAACCTGCTTAGCCGAGAAGAAAGAGGCCAAAGACGATAAGAAGACCGCAAAACGCGGTGTCTTTGGGGAAGGCATCTCTTCTGGATTTGGCGGTGACTCGGGCTTTGGAGATTTCGGTGGTCATGGTGATCATGGAGGCATTAGTGGTGGCATCGGAGGAGGTCATGGTTTAGGAGGAGGTTTTGGTGGTGGCATCGGAGGAGGTCATGGTTTAGGAGGAGGTTTTGGTGGTGGCATCGGAGGAGGCCATGGTTTAGGAGGAGGACTTGGCGGAGGAATTGGAGGAGGTCTTGGAGGTGGTTTTGGAGGCGGCATTGGAGGTGGTTCTGGTGCTGGAGGTGCCATTGACTTGGGCTCATCTGTACATACACATCTTACAATTACCAACAGAGTAGGAATTCCTCACTCAGTACCAGTACCAGTACCAGTCGAAAGGAACGTCCCAGTGCCAGTACCTCACCCCGTCGCTGTTCCAGTAGACAAACCTTATCCAGTGAAAGTAGCCCAACCTTACCCAGTTCATGTCGACAAACCTTATCCAGTCTATGTTGAAAAGAAAGTACCTGTACCAGTAAGCTATCCCGTAAAAGTGCCAGTTCCTCATCCTGTTCCAGTTAAAATACCTAAACCAGTGGCCGTTCCTGTTCACAAACCAATACCAGTTCCAGTACCAGAAATAAACATCGTTAAGAAACCATATCCAGTGATTGTCAAAGCTGACGACCATGGATCTTCATTTGGTTCTTCCTTCGGATCTTCCCTCGGTGGAGGATTCTCTGGAGGACATGACTTCGGAGGCAGCTTTGGGTCATCCTTGAAACACTACTAATTACCACCTAAGATTTTTGTTTTTTTTATTTTTTATTTCATTGCCCATTTTATTTAATCTTCATTATTTAAACGAACATATACCATTGCATTCAATAGGATTTTATGTCTGTGATCTCTATGTGTCTTGTCTTTATTACCCTTTTTTTACTTACCTCTAGTCTATTTTTTATAGAAAGGGACTGACATTAATTAAATACAGTTATTCTGTAAAATATCTTTTATTTCAGTCTTAGCTTATGCTACCACTTCCAATTCAAGTATGTGCTTATCAAAGCTTAATTAAAAATTCTTAAACTGCAATAACAGAAGCGTTTTATTTATTTGTCTGACTCAAGAATGATTTGGACGTAATCTTAACAAAAACATGAAACATCCTGTATTTAATTTAAGTAATGCATAACTTGCAATGGAAAGTTAAAGAAGTATAATAACCACGACACACCTTTGGCGTGTATCTTTAACCTTCCGTTAGTTATCAAAGGTATTAATCAAATATACTGCGGTCTAAATTACACGTAATTAATTTTTTTTTGTAAACTAAGCTATTATGCAATTGGTAGGCAATCTATGAAAAATTGGCAAGAATATGAACACTTCCTTTATTAGGAAATCAAACAGGTCAACTTTCGCCTTTATTGGCTGTAGAAAAGTGACCGAAGATTATAACGTAACGTACCTATACATCTAACAAGCTCGTTTTACCGCTCTAAAAAAATTAGACCGCTTTCATGTAATTGTTGATATTAAAAGAAAGACTTTCGCGATAGGATTAAGCAGACGAAATAAATTCACTTCCCGGTATTACCACGAGTGCGCCGCACCCCTCACTTTAACAAACATGTTCATAAGTAATCAACTTTTTCGCACACAATGGTCGAAATGCTTCTTTAAATTAAGCACGTCCAGAACTCACGGTACCATTATTTCATTACACCATTGTGAATGCTAACAGAAGCATAAAAAAAATTACTTATGAAATAATATTATTATCATGGTACGATTTTTGCTTGTCATGATAAAAAAACGTAACATGGTTGTTCAGAATGCAGAAAACAAAAGACAAGAAATTGTACGGTTTCGTAGACTTGCTTTTTTATTTATTCCATATATCCTGTGAATATTTAATGTATTAAAACAATAATTTTTTTATATTCTAAAATATATTTAAAACAATAATGGCAAATGATCCATTGTCTCATAAACTTGAGAGGATTAAAGAAGATATAATAGTAAAATTCTGTTTGCTATGTCAATTAATTGTAAAGAAAAATTCAAAAAAATTTATGTTTTTATCATGCTTTAAAGTGTATGTATCTTCTCAAAACACCCTCTGAATGTATATATCATAATGAATGTAACAGATAATTAAAATGATGAATGACGAAGTAATATAAATTTTAAACTGAAGGATAAA